GTACAGTCGACCTCCCTGTAACACTGTTGATTTTTCCGTTTTATATGAATTCCATGTTGTACGAGTCANATCGAGTTCCAGTATTTTTTTTTTTCCTTTTTTTTCCTTTCTTTCTTAGTAACTCTGTGGCGTTTTCCCTGCAGATTTACACTAATGATTTGGTAGCACAGAGTTCGTTATATTTTCGACAAGAAATGGCAATTTTCGAAAGAAATATTTTCTTTCATTTTAATGAGTTTTAACTGTTTTCTTTTGTATAATGTGTCTCGATCTATTATACTTTTCTTTACCTTTAAAAATATACATATATTATTGCTTTGACATATACAAATTAAACGAATAAACAAATTAGATTTAACAAATTCAATCTTATACTCTTGAAAATTTCAAATATAATATTAATATTAAGGACAAAAAAGGGAGGTTTCTCGGGGTTTTGTCAAGATGAATTTGTCGTGTTTATATTGTTAACTCCTTATGAACGATTAATGCGATGAAATTATTATTATAAAGTCTGTTTGTTTGTCTATCTGCCATCAATTAATGATGTTCTGATTAGGATATGTTTGTTAAAATAATTGTAAGATATTTCTAGACACTGCTTTTAATAAATAATTCTGTTAATATATATATATATTTCTGTTTTAAAAATTTATATTACTGCAACGATAAGTTAATTAAAGTACTTTATTTTTAAGAAAACAAATGGAAAGAATATCACTCGGAGCAAAAGAGCAAGGGAATATCACTGTCTAAACAACAAAAATATATATTAATTGAAGTTTTATGAGGTTTTAAATTATTAAGTTTATTTCGTCTTATTTACAGGTTACATATTTTACAAATTTTATTTAAAATTATTAACTTAATGTAAGATTGTAGATTAAATCAAAACCTGTATAAAGCGGAATCGCATGGTACAAAATTATTTTTCCGTTTAGACAGGTTTCTGTTTCATTCAGGTTTCGTTTTACGCAGGTTTTTACCGTCTCTAAAAATTAATATTAGGGTAGTAATTTCAAAATAAATAAATAATTCAATTTATGCTATTTTCTGTGCTTATATATTTAAATTAAATTAAGAAAAATTTATATAAAATCAGATAATTTTATACATTTGTAAACTATCCTTTTATACCATACACAACTCCATCCGTATAAAACTCCAGGACCAAATTGATTATTCATAGGAGTATAGAAGTATACTTGACAATTCTTGAAAGTTTTATTCAGAATAAAATATGAAAAGTTTTATTTGTATAATTAATCATTATTTTACGATATTTCTATAAGGAATATTGGAAAATCACGACGTTATTCAAGAATGTTTGACGATTCTTATGTAAGTCGCGATCTACTGGTTGCGAAATTAATTATTAAATAGCTTACTATGTCTTTCAATGTCGTTAAATAAGTGACATTTCTAGTTAAATTGCACACAATTTTCTGTGAAAAACGTTGTAAAGATTACTAGGAAATAAATTCTTTCATAAATTCTGTATAAAATGTTAATCTTTTAAAATAAAATTTCTCAAGAATTATTTTAAAAAATCGACTTATTATTAATCATTATAATTAAACTATTTACAAATAATTAAGTTTCTTATTACATTAAATTTTCTATTATTTTTAGTTGAATTTTTAAAAAAATTAGTTTATAAGTAGAAAATTTTATTGTAAATCATTAAAATTGCTATCATATTCACATAATAATAATGATTATTACAGTTAAATATTAATTTACATAAGATTTATTTTTGTGTTAAATATTCTAAAATTCATTTTTATCGATTTGTTTTCCTTTATAATCAAAGTAAAGTTCGTTATAAATAAAATAAGAAACATTTAAACAGAATTAATAATATTTGAAAAATTATTTAAAGAAAAATAAAATAAACAAAAGTTAAAGAATGGAGAAAAGAAGGAAAAATTGAAAAATTTAAGGTTTTAATCCATAAAAGGGGGCTTAAATTACATAAACAACGGAATTAATTCCGATTATCATACAAAGTTCCAAAGAATAAACAAATCATGTAATATGAATGGATCGTTGGTTGCAAGTTTTAAATCTAGGAATTATCGAATTCTAAAATGATTGATATAATTTTAAAGTTTAAGTACTTTATCTGAAATTTTAATACGTTGTTACCCCAAGAAATCAATATTAACTTGGATTATGCATGAGTAGCCCCGTTAACGTTCTCTAACTGGGATTAAACTTGATAATTGTTCATTAATTTCATTATGCTTCGAGACGACTAATCATCTGTTTTATTTTTCCTATAACCATTTTAAAATATTAAAAATAAATAAGGAAATAATTCGAGATGAAACATCTTACACAAATCTTTACACGAGAATGGTTTTTTTCGAGATTCCTGAGATTCTTCTCAAAGAAACTCGAAATTCTAAGAAGATTTTGAGGAAAATCATTGTGATATAAGCGAGTATCATCCGCATAATACATATGCAAAGCGTTGTAGCGCATAAAAGAAATCAATAATGATATCCGGATCGTATGCCAGCAACATTGATGCAGCGTGGAAGCGCTCATCATGGTATATCATAATGAAGCCAATGGGAGCGAAAATCTTTAACCGCTAAAAGAAAAGTGATAATTATAGGTGAGGAAATGCACCTTTTTGAGAAGAATTGTTTAAATGTTTCGGAAGACAAGCATTTACGCTACAAAGAATCCGATTTTTACGCCCCGTCGACTATCAAGCTCAAATCACCAGTTTTACGCGGGATCAAACATCGGGAATGTTTTCCCAGATCTTATTTCCTCTACTGTGTATATTGGAGATAACCCCCTTTTCTCGCAACTCTCTAAAGAACTAATTGGTGAAAAGTTTCTATTAAGTTTCCGTTTGCAATCACTTTAATTGGTTTTTCTCGGATTGCTTTTTCTTCCCCCTTCCCTCTCTCCTTTGCCGTGCACTTTCTTTTAAAATCTGTAATCTTTTGCGCTCAGATAAATCTTATTTACTTGATTATTTATGATTATTTTCCTGTCTACGAAATAATTTTTTTGTGCTTTATATGTTAATGACCGCTTCAAGCGTACAAAATTGCTATAAAACTTTTAGTCGTTCGCTGCCGAATCTTAGAAAGATTTCTCTAATAAAATCCTTTCTAAAATCCGCTAAAACTGTGCTTTTGGGAGGAAATTACTTAAATTTTAACCCCCAAAAAAACAGTTTACACAAATGAATAGTGGCTCATAAGTCAGTTGACCGTGTAGAGAGTAAATTGCTGTCTTGTTCAAGTACTGTATTAATGGGATCTTTCTTGTCCAATACACAAATTACAACGCTTTGACACATTTTTATAAATTGCACGGCACGGTTAACTGACTTCTGGGCTAACCTTTATGTAGCGTATTTTACGACAAGTAGCCTATTTAAACTAACTAAATTTTTTCCAATTTATTAATATTAAAGCATAGACATTTTAAGATTATTTTGATCTTCATCTTGTTTTAGACTTAAAAATACTCAAAATATTTAAATATGTTCAATTTATAACAGATTAAACTTTTTAAATCAAATTGACTTAAAGATAATTTCATAATAAGCGATACGCGATTTACAACTTTAAAAAAGTATTATTTTTTTCGCGTGTCTCACAAGAAATCCATTATAAAGAATATAAAAATTTAAAAATGAATAGAAACAAAATGATTAAAGATAAAAAAATATATATTTAAAAAAAAGGACATGAAGTTATTACAATTATCAAACAAATTTTCACTTTGAGAGAAGAGAGAGAGAGAGAGAGAGAGAGGATGAAGGAGAAAAATCTCATAATTCAAATAGTGTCAAAAGACATTCAAATATTCAAGCTATTAAAAGGCATACCAAAGAAATATTCAAAGGAAACTATAACTCTCGAAAGAAAAGGTATTAAATTACACATTTTGTCAAAGTTTTTCATTAATGTCAGCATTGAGCTGATGAGTCCAACGCTCCACTCCCATTAACCGATGCTGTGCTTGATTGTTACCATAGAAACGGGAAGTAGAGCGGAGTCGTTTTGTCTCGGATCTGTTTTAATGGAACCACACCATCTAAATTGCCAGTCAGACAGCGTCTTTCCTTTACTTACTTATTTGAGGTCCATATGAAGGTGATAACCTTAATGAATAGATAACGTCTTTGCAGCGAGTCTCGATAATCATTTTCTTCTCTTTTCTTATACTTAGAAACTAGGGGGAAAAATCCTTCTAACCGAATTTATACTTTAATGATTATCTCGTACGACATATATTATCTCCATTCTTAAAAACGATCCCCGAAAATTGCAAGCTTTTCCTTTGATTTATGCACCTCGTGATCAGGATCTAATCAGAATTATTTACTTCAAAACTCGTGAATAAATTTTTAAATAAGTTTCCTAGAATATTAATAATACAAAAATGGAGAATTTCATGGAGGGAAGCTATCGTATAACTGGTTATTAATTCTTTTCTTATATTAATTTGATCCCGTTTTTAGCGTTTTTATAATGATATATTAAAACTTTAATGCATTTTAAACGTCTAAAAATATAATTTAATTAGAATATTTTAAAAAGTTTTTACATTTTTGTAACTGGAAAACTGAAAAAATTGGTGTTACATCCAGTCGAAACTTAAGATATTTATTGTTTAATAATACTTTTATATATTATTTTAACTAATGAAGCATGATTATTGATAAAATTTCGAACTTAAATATTAAAAATATCACCTGTGATATTTAAAATTGTAAAAATTACATTAACATATTACATATTAATTTAACGCACTTAACATGAAAATCTTGTCTTACTCAATTATTAAATTCAACAAACGTTTAATACTTGTTCCTTGATTATAAACTTTTAAAATAATTAAATCTTAACATCTTTTAACTTAAAACATTTACTCTGTTTGAAATTTACGAATAAAGATACTTTAATAATAATAATAATATTATTATTATTTTTTTAAAAATTAAAAGTATATCGATCGATTCTTACCAACCAGACATGCTGTACGCTACTACACTAGTATAATTATTAGATATCGATGATTCTTCAGTACATGTAACTTTAGTATCGGGTTGGTCCGCTTGCCTGATGAGAAAAGTGGTATTCTTATGATTGAAAATGTAAGATTTTTTGCCATCCAGAGTGTGCCAGTGATGAGGTAACGTTACCCATGAAGGAAACTGGCACCCAGCAGTGGGATGTTTACCTATCGGTACATATATTCATTAGGATGTAGATAGGGGGATATAAATTGAAGGTAATTCTTAATACTCACTCCTAGTGAGCCTCATGATGCGGGATCCTTCCCTTGGCGATACCAATCCATCACAAGTAGCATCAGCCGACTGTGATACTTGATATCCTGCACGATCTATCAGATGATCGAATACCTGACACGGGAGATTCTTCATTAAAATGTGAAATATTTTTACATATTTATTTATTTATATACTTAAATATTCTAATAAACAGAAAATTATTTTCTTTATAATAAACAAATTTAAATATATTTTAACTTAATTTACATTAAAAATTTCCACCTTCAAAGCAGGAAGTAATATATAAATTGTCGCATTTAAACACTCATTTTTTTGTTATATTATTTAAGAAATTATATAAAATATATTGTAAAAAATACATAAACTGATAATATAATAATTAATTATGTTTAGTTATTTTATTGATGGGAAAAAGTATAATATTTGTTAATTTGAAGCAAATTTATTGTTAGAATAATTTAAAAATTATAAGTTATTTATAATAAAAACATGTATTTAAGTAAATTTAACATAATTATTAAAAATATAAAATTAATTGATAAATTTAAAAAAGAAATTGCTTAATGTTAAAAAAAATTATGGTATTATTTCGTAATCTTTGATATAATTAAAGAGAAATGTGATAAAAGGGGAAAAAAATAATTATTGAAGAAATTTATGAAGAAAAATTGTATTTTTATTTCTCCGGCGAAGATTTTAAAAATTGAGTTAATAAAAATAACTGTAATATTTAAGTAAGTTGATTAAAATATATCAAAAAATGAAAATGGCGACAATCATTAACGATAAGAGCGAAGAGAAGTAATGAAAAATCATAATTTTAATAGAAATAAAAATAGATAAAAATGTGATAATAACCATAAAAGTATTTAAGAAGATAAATTTAATGAAAATGATCCGTTTTATACATTTACATCTCATTTTTACTTAATACGAAACTTTTAATTAAATTTTCAAATATAGATATTTGAATCCATAAAGAAGTGTGTAACAGTGCCAGGTTTTTTTTTCCTCCCCTATAAGAATAATACTTATTTAAGATGGCTTTACGTGTTCAAGCACCGAGATTGTAGCTTTTGTTATCGCACATCAGGTAGAAATTATGGAGTGCTTTACTGAGTTTAATAGCATTCTTATCAGATGCAATACCCACTGTAACAGGACACACACACACACACTTCAACCCATCAGAGTTCAAAGACGTAGGACTAGTTACTGAGTTCAAAGCATATTCTATTAATTATAGAGACAATATGAAATTACATTAATTAGTATGCATAATTAAAGATAGGTCTTCGTATGACCTCCCGAATTCGATTAAAGCAAAACGAGAGAGAGAGAGAGAGAGAGAGAGCAAATGGAACAAAGAGCAATTTTCCATTGTTACTTTTCTTATTTTAATGTTATTTCTCGTACGGTTTACGATGATAAACGTCATTAAAGTTTGGTAGACGAAGATGCAATTTACTTATTCCCATCTTTGACGAAATTCGTTTTATCTCCAGTAAAATGCATATTAAAATTTATATTTGAAAATTTTAAAATTCTATGAATATTTATCGTGTGTTCATTATCAGTTTGAAAATTTAATTTGCGTATTTGAGATATGAATCCTATCCTACGAAAGTTTATAATTCAAGGATTAGTCTTATAAAGTGTTTTATATGTATATAAAAAATGGAAGAAATCTGTACTTACGAAACATCTGTAATTGTTATGGTCGCTGTATAATCCGTATGGTAACCTCTGCTTCATTTTTCCTACCAAGTAGTGATAAGAGCCTTCTTTCCAAGAGGCTAGACACGTCAATTCCTCCACTGAGAACAGAAAAGAGCACATGAGAAAAGCTGTAGATAGGAGAAGAAAGAAGAAACAAGACGTTTTCGAAGTTAACAGATAGAGGTGATCAGTCAACCGCACGCGTTCTTCTCTTCTTAAAACTTCATCCGTTTGTCATCATTAGGACCAAGATGTCCCTAAGAGTGTCCAATGACAGTTCGCTGTCATCATTCAGTATTACTCGAGAAGAAAGAAGGCAAAAAACTGGCTATTTTATTAAATAACTGTCCACTCTTTGGATAACACGCAACTAATTATTCGATTAATAAAGCAGAACGTAGAACCATTTTCACTCTTAAAAATTGTAAATATTTTTATTTAAAATATTCAGTTTTAAATTTAAATTTCTTCACTTTTTAAAATTTTAAATTCGAGTATTAAATTTCTAAAATAAGCTCTTCAGCTTCCTAATTCCGTGTCAATAATATTTATAAAAATTTTGTAAATTTCTAATGTCGAAAGATAAATTTAATCATTTTATTTAATAAAATGATAGAAGAATAAATAATTTTTTAACTTTTAAATATTTTATAATGCTTTCGATGAAGCAAAAACATTATAAATTTACATTTACACGCTTATGAATCACTCGTAAATATTTATTTATAATTGAGATCAATAAACCTTAAAAACGTTGCTGCACAAATTTAAAATGCAATTTCAAGGAAACCCTTGATAAATATTTGTTAACGGACTTCAAATAAGCAAAGTTTGAAGAGGGAAGGAAAAGAAGAAAAAGAAGAAAAAAGATTCGTACCACTACTTTCGGTCCCTTTGACATCAGCACATGCTTGGAAACGGAAGAGGATATGGGTATCATCAGTACACGTATCTATAGTAGAAATAGGATGTTTACATTCTCCATGACCTCTACTGTATGTAAAGATGAAGGGTCCATGAAGAGGACAAGGAACCGCAGATGCATTCACTGAAAAGAAAAAAAAATTGTAAAAAACTTCATTATAAACAAGAATAATGAATGCTTTTTCAGATAATTTCTAAAGTTCTATAATGAGTTATGTAAAGGTGGGAAGCAGAATAATCAAAAACATGAATTTTTTCTTCATACAATGATATTTCAATCGATCAAACATTTTTCTTCTCCCCCATTTTTTATACAGATAAGGATCATTATTGTTGATGGATTTTAAATATGTTCTTCTTTAACCATAAATTCTGATAGAAGTGATACTCTATATGGAAGAATAGAAAGATATTTTATTTTAAAATTGGATAAAGTTAATTTAAAAAATATATTTTAATAATTATCCTTCTCAAGTTATCGAATGAGGAGACTTTATGTAGTTTAATATTAGCAATTTTTCTACTTAAAAGTTCAATAATTTTCAATTAATCTATTTTGGAATGAAGATGAAGTTAACTTCTTTATTACATTTTATCAGTTTTGAGTGTTTATAAGAGGTAAAGAGTAATTAAAAATTACTTTCTAAATGGGATTAATAATTGTAATTTATATAGTAATTTTAAAGAATCGAATGAAAACTTTAGTATTGAATCGAGATGAGAGAGAGAGAGAAGAGAATACATCAAATAGATACTTTTTCCTTCCACTTTAAAAGCACAAAGAGCCATTATCTTCTGTTGTATAGCAGCACGAGAGGATGGACAATTACTTGGAATTTCTCGTCTTGTACATCACTTCAGCAGGTGTCTCTTCTCCTCTCAAAACAGAAATGGAACGAGTTAATGCATTTCTTCATCCCCTAACTTTATATAATTGAGTTGGATACGCTTTTCTTCTACTCGGTTGAACTCTAGGATAGAAATGCCAAATACAAAGGAGATAAAAGTAGGATGGAGAATTTGGTAAAATCGGAATTTTCGGGGAAGTCATAGTTATGAAATACCAACAACGAGATGGGTCGGGAGAAGAAATGTTGACACTAGTCATGTGAACGAACAGTTGTCCTGGCAACGAAACCCGGTCGATTGAAATTCGGTAAGTATTATTCTTTTGGCATAATTTTGTTACTATAACATAGAAAGGATACTTTATAAGCAAACAGATAAATCAACATGCCCTTCTATCATTACCTGATAGCTATAAAGTTAACAGATTTATACATAAGCTACATAGCATTATGACAAAGTATTTGTGAGTGCGGCCGGTACACGAAATGGGAATTTCCTCATCCGATACTATTTACAAATTAATGCCCGGAGAATAACTCAGCCGTATTTACATTTAAAATAGGATGCATGAACAAAAGTTACAGTTTAATTACCAAATTAATACATTAGAATGGTTATAGGTAATCCATACTTTGCCTAATCGAATTGGATGCTTCATCGAGTTAGTGCAGCGTATCTTCGATCCTGCACTTCGCATTTCATAAGCATATTGGAAGTAATCGTCTTAAGATTGTCTCTCGGATGCGAACAGCTGTGTAATGACTCACCATCTGATATCATTTCTATTTGCTTTCGTTCTCTTCGTTGCTAGGAATAAGTAATGGGGTTTACTACCACAGCAACACTACTATAGTAGATCGGAATGAGAAATGTAGTCGAGTGCTTTCTCTCGTCGCTTCTCTCCCTCCTCCTCTCTCTCTTTGCACAAATCTCTTAACTGAAATGTGTAAATCGCTCAAATATTCCATTTTCTAAAAGATAAAGGACAACTTTAAACAATTAAATTAAAATTTTCGACGTTATTTGCCTACCTAATACCTTTCTAATATCTCATATTTATGCTGTAAGTTCGTATCTCTTATGTTATTAAGTTAATAGGTAAGAATATAAATTTTTTTTACTAATTATCTTCATCGTATTAACGAATTACATATTAAATTTTATGATAATGAGTTTGCAGTTTTAACTATTAGGGTCAACAATTGCTATAAGTTGTCGAATAATTGATGTTGGAAATCTATAAATTATGCACGAATCTTCACCTTTATGGACGAAACTCGATTACTTTACCATTGATTCTTTTTTTTAATCATCCATTTAGTGAGATGCTGTTAAATTATTAAGCATTTTCGGTTTAATTGTAATTTTAATACATAATACATCACTTTGTAGCCAACTTTACGGCTTTAGTGAAACCAACTGTTATGCGACTTCTCCTAATTACGTAATCATGTCCAGTAACAAACACCCCAAAATGAAGAGGATAAGTTTCAAATTTAATTATGAAACTAGAAGTTGTTTAAGGGAAAATTTTCAGTGATTCATTTTACCTTCGCTTCTGTGTTTAAAAGTCATTAAAATATACTTGAATAAGTTTACATTCGAATTTTATTTAACTCCCAAAATAAATTTTGTAAACTTATCAGGAAAAAAACTAGATTAATAAATAAGCTCTTGTAATTGGGCTGCAATTTGAAAAAATTATAGACCTATAAATTTTCCCTATGATCCGTTTGTTTGTCTGTCTCTCTTTCCTTAGTTTCGAGAACAGTGTTAGATAGATAAAAGTAGAGACCAGATATGGAAAGCTTAGGGGCAGGAAGCCCCGATTAACTATATACGAACTTCCGGTCTAGACCGGAAGTCACATGATTTCAATTCAAAAATTTTTCCAGAACGGAGTTACATAGATGACCGGCACGAATCTGTTGTTATCAGGAAAAGTATGATGTACAGGGGCAAGACACCGCCGATTTGAGATGGAGAGCATATATTTTTAAATTAAATAAATTAAAAATATAATTAAAAGTTGCAACCTGGCATTGTGACGATGGCATAATAATAATTTTTACTCGTATTATATATATATATATATTCAAACCGTAAAAAAGAACAGTAAAGGGATTTACAGTAAAAATGTATGTTGGAATTTACAGGCTACTTAATTTAAATTTAAATTAAATAGTTTTATTTATGAAATTTTAATATTTATATCAAATTTTTGATGTTTTGTATATTCAAAGTTTGATCAAAAAATATTGATTGCGAGGAACATAAACCATTTAAAGAGATTTCGCCGTATAGTGGAAAAGCTTTTGTAGCCACAGGGTGAGAAGTTATGTCAAAACTGCATCGAATATTCGTAAGGCAGTAAGAGGACCTTTGGGAAATATAGATCCAGTAATAAATTCAAACCATGCACGAGTTGGAAGATATTCTTATAAGTAAGATCGTACCGAATTGTAAAACTTCCTCCTTCTGTACAGTTTGGTTTAGTTTAAACTGATTAAAAGAAGAAGGGGTAAAAAAAAAGGCGGAAGTATGTGAAGAAGAAAACCATATACCTTATTCATGCACGAGAAAGATTAAAAATAATGCATAATTCAGTTTCTACTGTTCGATTTTGCATAATTTTGAATTGCAATTTATAAAGAATCTGGTATTTTTTTTTCGTGAGTTTTAAAAAGAAAAAAAAATGTTGAAGCGAATGTATAGCAGAAAGTAGATGAAACCTGTACATCTAGCTTATAGCTTATGTAGGCATTGCTAATGTTGAAATTCTCTTGTATTTTTCTATACTTTTCTTTACAAGAAAGATTTTTAAAGTTTAAATTTATATTTTTAACATATTTGAATTTCTTCGAATTATGAAAAGATATCATTAAGAATTAAGATTTTAAAAATCATTTTTACTTANATCAAAGTAAAGTTCGTTATAAATAAAATAAGAAACATTTAAACAGAATTAATAATATTTGAAAAATTATTTAAAGAAAAATAAAATAAACAAAAGTTAAAGAATGGAGAAAAGAAGGAAAAATTGAAAAATTTAAGGTTTTAATCCATAAAAGGGGGCTTAAATTACATAAACAACGGAATTAATTCCGATTATCATACAAAGTTCCAAAGAATAAACAAATCATGTAATATGAATGGATCGTTGGTTGCAAGTTTTAAATCTAGGAATTATCGAATTCTAAAATGATTGATATAATTTTAAAGTTTAAGTACTTTATCTGAAATTTTAATACGTTGTTACCCCAAGAAATCAATATTAACTTGGATTATGCATGAGTAGCCCCGTTAACGTTCTCTAACTGGGATTAAACTTGATAATTGTTCATTAATTTCATTATGCTTCGAGACGACTAATCATCTGTTTTATTTTTCCTATAACCATTTTAAAATATTAAAAATAAATAAGGAAATAATTCGAGATGAAACATCTTACACAAATCTTTACACGAGAATGGTTTTTTTCGAGATTCCTGAGATTCTTCTCAAAGAAACTCGAAATTCTAAGAAGATTTTGAGGAAAATCATTGTGATATAAGCGAGTATCATCCGCATAATACATATGCAAAGCGTTGTAGCGCATAAAAGAAATCAATAATGATATCCGGATCGTATGCCAGCAACATTGATGCAGCGTGGAAGCGCTCATCATGGTATATCATAATGAAGCCAATGGGAGCGAAAATCTTTAACCGCTAAAAGAAAAGTGATAATTATAGGTGAGGAAATGCACCTTTTTGAGAAGAATTGTTTAAATGTTTCGGAAGACAAGCATTTACGCTACAAAGAATCCGATTTTTACGCCCCGTCGACTATCAAGCTCAAATCACCAGTTTTACGCGGGATCAAACATCGGGAATGTTTTCCCAGATCTTATTTCCTCTACTGTGTATATTGGAGATAACCCCCTTTTCTCGCAACTCTCTAAAGAACTAATTGGTGAAAAGTTTCTATTAAGTTTCCGTTTGCAATCACTTTAATTGGTTTTTCTCGGATTGCTTTTTCTTCCCCCTTCCCTCTCTCCTTTGCCGTGCACTTTCTTTTAAAATCTGTAATCTTTTGCGCTCAGATAAATCTTATTTACTTGATTATTTATGATTATTTTCCTGTCTACGAAATAATTTTTTTGTGCTTTATATGTTAATGACCGCTTCAAGCGTACAAAATTGCTATAAAACTTTTAGTCGTTCGCTGCCGAATCTTAGAAAGATTTCTCTAATAAAATCCTTTCTAAAATCCGCTAAAACTGTGCTTTTGGGA